AAGTTACATATGTAGCTACGATCATCATTAGGTAACGTGAAAATCAAAATTCCGGTGATCAATGTCAGGGGAGTGTATTTATGCATGTAATCCTATAAGTTTTTTTTGATTATTATACTAGATAGGTGCGCGACGTCATCGCACAAAACCAGGAACGGAACTTAATTAACTACTCAAGATTTGCCTAAATGCAGGAAAATAATTTTCTTTTTTAAAAAATTTAGATCGTATATAAAGTTTTTATACTTGCCATATATCTTCAAATATTTTTCGAGTCGAAATAAAGAATTTGCTTATGTTCAAAAATAATTTTACTAGTAAACTTTAACCTTTGGTAAATTTTCAGTCAAAATCTGGAGGTTGCTTATATTCAACTACAGTTCTTAAGTAATATTAATTAACTATTTCAATTTAATATATTCCGTTAAATTGTTCTAGCCTGCAAATTTTGGATACACAGTCTTTCTGACAATTATAATTATTTTTTTTTTCTTTAATAAAAGTTACTGGTAGCAAGTATTTAGTAATACTGGTAAAACTTTGATAATGTTGGTCACTCTTAAATGTCAATTACATTATAATCACGTGAAAAAAACACTATTAATTGTAAAATTACATTTCAATTTCGTAAATTACAATATAATTTACATGAAACGTAACAGAGTAATTTATGTAACTGCAATTAACGTCCTTGCACTGCTACGGAGCTGTGGAGCCTTACGTCACAACATACCAAAAAAGAACATATCGCAGATATACATTTCAATTACATGACATAGTATATTCTATTCTCTTTTACGCCATTTACGAGCATGGCTATCTTCATAGTGTTCCATAAAATCATAATAATTTGAAAAAGTTGCATTACATTTAGAACAACTGATTATTTCATCATTTTCTGATGATGATTCTGAGGATTCCTAGTTATGGAATACATGAATTTATAAAAAAAAGTAATGAACAATAAAAAAAAAATAGAAATTAATAAAACTTACCTGTGAAATTGTATCATCAATTTTCTGCACTTTAAGTGTGAATCCTGGTAAAATACTACCACCATTTACATTATTCCAGTCATGTGAAGTTCGATAGACAACTCCACCAACTCTCCGTCTGTAAATATATATTTGCTTATTCTTTGGGTCCACTAACCAACCAAGATCAACTGACGAACTCGTTGCAAAG